TTATTAAAGAGTAGCTTTAGATGAACTTTTATAAACATAAATTGTAAGAATATCGTTGGAGTCATTGGAATCACCAGCGTGCCGCTCGATCGTCAGATTTAAGCAACGCAGTCAGGATGGATGGATGACCGACATACCGTTTCGGATTCGAAATTATTGTTTCATAAAAAAAACTAATTCCTAATTTAGTTAGGGATATGATAATATATGAAACAAACCATCTATATCTAATTTCCTAAATGCGTTACAAGATAAAAAAACAAAATCACCATTGGAAAGAAAGCCAGGATTGTCTATCATTTTCGTTCTATCATTTTTTAAGCAAGGATAACTCCATTATTATTTTAAGCAAGGATAACTCCAAAGTATTTTTTTATGATAGAATATTAATAAGATAGTTTAGTGGTGTAAGGTTCTTATAAAATTAAATATAATTCAATGTGATAAGATTATATTCAGGCGAATTTTCTTCATGATAGGATATTATAAATCGCTTGTTATAAGAAAACATTCACGGCCAATGGACTTAGTTTCACGACCAGTAAACAACAACAAGAAAACATTCAATTCAGAAATTTGAAATGGATAATACGTTATATGAGTTGTAATCAGAAAGAAAAAGTTTAAAACATACAGCATGATACAAAGTGATTGCATAACGGAATATTTTATGTGAAGATGTATTATTAACAATTTTACATGAAACAGATGCAATAAAATGGAAAGAAACTTTACATTAAGTTTGATTAATTGTGATAATGAAAATTTTCTAAAAGTTCTAAGATTGATTATGATTATATTTGTTCTTATAGATTATTAAAGAGTAGCTTTAGATAAACTTTTGTGAAAGAATATTATAAGCAGTTTATCATAAAATAATTAAAAATATTTCATACAAATTTCTATATGTAGAAAAATATTAACTGACAAACTTTTATATTCAACATTATTGAAAGAAATGGTATTATAAATTATTATTGAATTATATTGGAAATCTATCTAATGCGACATAGATAAAAGATTCGTTATATTAATCAACATAGAAATTCTATCTTATGGAATGAGATCCATTCATAATCTATCTATCATTTTAAGCAGGGTTGCTGAGAAGTTAAACATCGATAGATTGATTTCGACACTTAAAAAGATTGGATATAATCTGAAGCTCGATGTTTGGATATCACATTTGCTTACTGAAAACAACAAAATTGACTGAGTTTCTGTAGTTCTTAGCCGACTAAACAAGAATACATTTTTGGGTCGATTGGTGATTGGCAATGAAAAATAAATCTTACACAATAATGTCCATGTAAATAAAATTAGAAAAGAAAAAGATAAACCCGGTCATTCTATGTTAAAAACTGGTTTGTATAAAAGGTGATGCTATCTATTTAGTGGGATTGCAAAGGAATTATTTTCTTTTAATTGCTTTCCGTAGGTGAAACGATTAATCCCGACAAATATTATCAATAGCTGTATAATTTAAAGGCAACGATACAAAAGAAACTTCCGTTTTTAACCAATCGGAAAGGTGTTGTCTTTCATGACTTTTTATTGTTATCCTCCATTTTTTCTTAATATTGCATCAGAGTATTATTTGTTTTGATTATTGCAGGATAATTTGAATGGAAAAAAACTTCTCATCTTTCGAACTCTTAAAAAATCATGTTTTAAGATTCTTTAACGAGAAACTATGCGTACATTCTACGATCATGACATCATATATTGCCAGAATGCTAAAAAAAGATTATAGAAAATGATGAAAAATATTTAGCCAATTAGATAAAAATCTTTGTATGCTAAATCACCAAATGATTCTTATTGAAAAATTGAGTACGAACTTTTGCACTTACCCAATATTTGTAATTTATTGTGTTTAATTATAATATAATTATTACGTATTGTACATCAACAATATGTTAAATAAATAAAATAGATTATAAGATCTAAACTAAGCTTAGTACAAGCTTAAATAAATATTAAATAAGTTTAACAAAGAAAAGAAGTTATTAATTTCATAATTTATAATCTTAATAACTTTTCCTAAAACAAAGCGAAAGAAAAAAGAAATTATTTTATATACATTTATTATGTATTTTTAACTTATTTTTTTTATATAAAATTGTTATCTTATGTATCATCTGTTACGAAATATCTAGTATAATGCAAACTTTTAAATAAATATCGTTATCTTTTTTGTATGAACATTTCGATTCCCCCTCTCCCCCCATGTATTGAACATTCCGATATTTTTGTCGAAAATTGATATTATTTGAGATATTTTTTACTATATTAATTTACATTTTAATGTTTTATCCTGTATATTTCTGCTATTCTGTATATCCTGCTATTATATTTACTTAGTATCATATACTTGACGAAACATCCGTCCAATAAAAAATTATTATACTAGCTATAAGTCAATGCGCGTGTAAAAATATATAAAATAAAAGTAATTTTTTTATTCACCTGTTATCTAGAATCAACAAGCGATGTTACGGACGGTCGATACGCACGAGAATCAGCACGCTTGGTGTACGGGGTTTTCACAACTCCCGTGAACTCCATTGGGGGCTCAGCAATCTGCGCTTTCTCTATGAACAATATTCTCGAGGTCTTCCAGGGTGCTTTCAAGGAACAGGAAACTATAAACAGCAATTGGTTACGAGTTCCACCAGAAAGGGTACCCGAACCGCGGCCCGGCGCCTGCGTTAACGATTCCAGAACACTTCCGGATATTACTGTTAATTTTGTTAAAGCTCATCCTCTCATGGACGACGCGGTGCAATCCTATTTCGCACTACCTGTGATAACTAAAATCAGTTTTAAGTGAGTGAACTGTTGACTATCTGATATTTGTAATATAATTTTTTGTTTCCTGTGTATTTTTGTGATATAAATGCATGCCAAGTTGATAATTAATATCAAAATATTTTTGGTGAGTTGAATTGACAACACATAAAGGCACGAATTTTTTATTAAATATAATATGATGAAATAGAATTTTCTTAATATTTAGAACTTTAGAGAGAGAGAGAGAGAGAGAGTGTGTGTGTGTGTGTGTGTATGTATTGATTTTTAATTTCTTTTCTAAATAATAAATCCTGTACCTTTTATTATATAGGATGTGCTAAACTTGTGGAAACGATCGAATATTTCTAAAAACACATTTTTTAGAAAAATATTTCAGACAAAAGTTATAGGGTTTCAGAAGATCTGTTTAATGTTCGTATTAGTTTTGACCTTGGGTAGCGTCGTCAACATCAGATCAAGGTCACGTCGATTTTTTTAAATGAAAATTCCCATTTTTATTGCATATTCTCGTAGTTTAGCCTTGAAATGAAAAAATATAAATGGCATAACTTTTTTTTATTAATACCATTTTGCGTTAAAAGTTAATTTTAAATCGATGATACTTGCATTTTGTTATACATTTCTAAATCTAAATAACATAATATTTATAACATAACGTATTATCAACATGAAACGTTGATGTATAGTTACAGATTTACCAAAGTCGCCGTAGATCCTCAAGTAAAAGCATTGGACGGTAAAGCTTACGACATACTCTACATTGGAACAGGTACAATCATTTATACATTTACATAACCCAGACAACACAGATCTTTCAATGAACGTTATGTAGACGTTCTTTGAAGATGCGTGCTGTCACAAAATGATATTATGATGTATGATTATATATGCACATAAAATTATTAAATTAATACATAATAAATGAAGTTAATCTTGTTAGTTTAACGAAATCAATTTGTTACATACAGATGATGGCCGTGTTCTAAAGGCGCTCAACACACGTGCACCGGAAACCCGTAATAATGTCGGTCAAGTTATTGTTAGCGATGTTCAAGTATTGAAATTTGGTAAGTTGTCACAAAACGAGCAAATATTATATGAAAGGTAAACTAAAATTTACAACTTTTAAAATATTTATTTATAAGAATAGTTATTAATTAATGGTCTAGTGGCAATAAATAATAGTTAAATATGCATATATATATATATATATATATATATATACAGGGTGTCCCGAAGTCCCATGATGACCCTTGGTGAGAACGTAGAACGGATTGAGGTGAGCAAGAAAGTCCTGTGCCGTTTTGCGATATTCGCAATAGTTTTTGAGAAATTAATTATTTTGTCTCAACAAATCAGCGTACAGAAAGCGGCAGCGGAAAGAAAGATGCCTTCGGCCGACGTGCGACCG